ACGTAGGTGTTTCTCGGCAAGTTAGTCTTCAAGTATAGAGCGCTTAAACTCATCTCTATTCATGTTTGGTAGGGTTTTCATTAAGAGGGTTTTAAATAAAGAAATAGAAAGACTTATGGCTTGCAATTTACATGCTTGGGACTTAGACCAAAAGCCAGAATGAGTCTCGCTTCTGACAAGGCCCTGCCAGGACGCTCACAGCCGTACTGGGTCTTGCCGCAGCCCGTGGTGGCGCAGACGGAGCCCGCGGGGAAGCTGGTGCTGGCGCTGGGCAGACACACGGGGGACACGGTGCTGGAGAGCGGGGCCGGCCGGCGTGGCCAGCTACAGCAGGTTGATGTCGTTGCTGTCCATAATCCTGTCCCACAGCGGGTGTTCAAAAACCTGGGGAGACGTGGTGGGGGCTGGGCAGAGCTCAGAGGGAGGACTTGGGGGGTTGGGGGGGGGGGACAGAGGCCTGGAGGCAAAGAGGGCTCAGCGACAGACGGGCGGTCGTTGAGAAAGACGCACAGATGGAGTTGCACAGACAAAATCTCAGGAAACTGGCATTTGACACATTGGCGATATTTAGTTTTTATATTTTTTGCTTTTCTACCATGAGCAAAACTTAATTTTACCATCAGAAACAACCTTCCGTATTTTTAAAGGAGCTTTGTTCCCTGGAAAAGAAGGCTCTGGACCGAGAAGTGCAGGGGTGAGGCCCGAGCGGGTCGGCCAGGGTCGTCTGTGCCCACACACCCTGCCTCCTTGCCCCTCCCTCGTCCAGGGCACGGTGGGGGGGAGGCAGCCCCACCACGGCCTTCCCACCTGGCGGTACCTCCGCGATCCTCAGCGCCTGGACAGCCTCGTCATCAGAGCCATGATCAGACACCCCAGCCACCACACGGTGGCTCTTCCTGGGGAGAGAGGGGGTGGCAGAGGGTGCTCAGGCTTTGGCCACCTCGGAGGGGTGTCTGGGAACCTCACCTGATGAGGGAAGCCCCGGCCAAGCCACAGGGACCTCAACTCCCACGGGGACCCGGGGGCCTGGTTCCCCATCTGTGCAGTGAGGGCACAGGCCTAGAGCTGCTCTCCTGGACGAAGCGGGGGTCCGAGGCAGTGGTGGGCACAAGGGTGGGGGCTTTCTCCTGCAGCCGGTCACTCTGCCTGTAGCTAGGAGGTAGGGGCAGCTTCTTCCCCACCCGCCGGCTGCCTCAGACCCTTCCTGCCAGGGAGCAGTGCCTGGGCAGGGTGGGTTGGGGAGGGAGTGAGGGTGCTTTCCTGAGCCCGGGCCTCACCTGACCCTGCAGTGGGCGGCAGTGAGCACCCAGTGCTGGCTGATGAGGGAGCCCCCACAGAAGTGTAAGCTGGAGCCAGTCCGGGGAGAGGGGAGAGGGACGGTCAGCCTCGCCTCTCCTGCCTGACTGCCCCCCTCCCCCCATCTAACCCGCCCCTCCTCAGCTTCCCCCTCACCTGCAAGGACACCTGCCCGGGCCAGGAGCTAGGGACAGCGTCCTCCCCATTGACGATCCGGGACAGGCCACTCAGCTCGGGGTGGATGGCAGGGACTCCGCAGCCTGGGGGCCAGGGCCAGGGTAGCTGGTCAGTGGATGGGGCCAGGGGGGAAGACCCGGCACTTCCAGGCATCTGTGACCACCTGGCACCTGGAGCTTTGGCCACCGCAGGGCACTCAGCCCCTCAGCCGGCAGCTGCCCTGGTGCCCTTGTGGAGGGTCCTGGAGGCTGGGGGACCTCTGGAGTTGGGGCCCAGAGCTAGAAGCCTGCGTCCGGAGACTCCCTATGTAGCCAGCTCCCCAACCCACTGTGTGCCCCGAGAGGAGCCTCCATCCCGCTCTGAACCCAGGGTCCTGGGTCGTGGGGCTGGGATGTCCTGCTTGAGTCCCTGGTGCTCTCACGGCCCCCTGAGTCTGCAGCAGGAGCAGGTCGGGGTCAGAGTGTTACTCCACCCGGAGCGGCACAAACCCAGGAGGCTGCCCAAGTCGGGAAGACGGAAGGGGCTGGGCAAAAGGAAGGGTGCGGACAACGTTCCCGAGGCAGAATTCCTGTGCCTCGGGGACACATGTGGATGCTGGAGGAGCCCGGACGACCCCCCGCTTCTGAGCCGATGGAGGAGGCCAAGACGAGGCAGGTCCAGCATGACCAGTGGAGTTTGAGGGGCCCGAGGGATCTCTAGGCGGAGGAGGAGTGGGGACCCCAGGAGAGGCTGGGGGCGGGGAGCCAGCGGCGCCAGCAGGTGGTCAGCTGGGGCGGGTGATGAGAGTGCGTGGACTTGGCCCTCCAGGTCCCCACTTCTGGGGCTGCGGGGCGCCGGGGGTGGGAGCGGCTTGGTCTGCGGCTGCCAGGCCTGCCCGAACCTTGCGCTTACTGGAGCTGCTACCGAAGAGGAAAAAGCCAAGGACGACCCAGAGAAAGGCCATGGCGTGTGGCTCAGAGGTGGGATGGGGCTGCCCAAACGACCCCCATTATATTCCCCCAGCCCACCAATTACAGCCGGCCTCGCCATCCCTTCCTTATCATGAGTCCCTGGGCTGAGGAGCACCTGACTCCTGTGCAGGCCTGGGAAAGTCGCAGCCCTGGGGGCTGCTCCTGGGAAGGTTCCTTGGAACCACAGGTGTGTGCGGCCAGCAGCTGGCTCATCCCCCAGCTGTCCACTCCCCGGCGGTGGGGGCCCTGAGCACCCTGAGCAGGGCATGGATGGCCAGGACCCTGCTGCCTACGAGGGTGGGAGCAAGGAGTGAGGGCTGGGGGCCAAGATCCCACTTCATCTCTTGGGAGCAAGGCTAAAAAAGGGCCCTCCAGGGACCTCCTGCCTTTCGTCCCAGTGAAGATGCAAGTTCAGGAGCAGAATGAGGTCTCAGGGGCCCCAACACAGGAGAGCACATCATCAGTGTGTTTTTTATTGGTTTATTGAGGCTTTGTGGGGAGCAGGTCAGCAGGGACGGCAGGGTGGGGCTGGGGACTCAGTTGGCTTCCAGGATCTGCTGTACCCAGGGCATGAGCCTGGTGACGCGGGCGTACACGCCAGGACTGGAGGTAGAGCAGGTCCCACTGCCCCAGGACACGATGCCCACCAGGGTCCAGGCTCCATCCTTCTGGCAGACCAGGGGGCCACCAGAGTCGCCCTGCAGGGAGAGAGGGGAGCTTAGGTCTGGCAGCCCGTAGACACCTGGCAGGTGCATCCTGGAGGGTTTATGAAAGAAGCTGCAGTAGCTCCTTGTGTGGTTTATGCCCCTGTAAGGCTGGGCCATCACCAGGGGCCCTATGATAGAGGCCTAATAAAGCGGGTTTGATTGATAGGAAGGAAGTACGGGTGGTGCTGGCCTGGCCATGGAGCCCAACCCTTTCTGGACCCTTCTGGGAGCCCTGGTCCACTACCCAGGCTATACCTTGCACTGCTCCGGCGGGGCGGGGGGGGCGTCCTTTCAGACACTGATTTCAATGGAATTTTGCAATAGGGAGATTTCAAGACCAGAGCCCCCTGCCCTGGCATCCCTCTGTTGTGGTCACTGGTGATTGGCCAGGAGAACTAAGCATTTTTATGACTGCTCAAGCAGGAATTCAGGGACGGAGTGTCAGGCCCTCCAAAGAGGCCTTCGTGTGACTTCCGTCTCCTCTCTCCGGCCAAGGCCCTGACCCGGGACTTTGCCAGAACCCACCCCAGGCTGGGAGGGAAGGGGTGCCGGGTGAGTCCAGGAGGCCATACCATGCAGGAGGACACGCCACTGGCCCCGGCGCAGATCATGAGATCGGTGATCTTGTTGCCCCAGAACTTCTTGCACTCGGCGTTGGACAGGAGGGGCAGGGCCGCCTGCTGCAGCCTGTCGGGAGTGTTGGCATCTGGAAGGGCAGGGTGGGCGGTCAGCAGGCACAGCCCGGCCCCCCACCTCCCACCCACCTGGCCGGAGGGCGCTCACTGGTGTGTTTGGTCAGGCCCCAGCCCGTGGTGGCACACAGTGTCCCAGCAGGGAAGTCGTCATTCTCAGCGGGCAGGCACACGGGCGACACGGTCTGGGAGAAGCGGGCAGGTGTGGCCAGCTTCAGCAGGGTGATGTCGTTGTTGACGGTGAATATGTTGAATCTGGGGTTCTTGAAAACCTGCGGGGTGGGGCGGACAGTGGCGGGTGGGGTCCGGGAAGAGGTCGACGCAGGGCTGAAGCAAGGCACCAGGCCACCCCAGGTCACCCCAGGGCTTCTGTCTGCACAATGGCCTGTTCGACTTGGTAGCTCCTTCTACAGCCCCAGGAGCCCGAGGCCAGGCCCAGGCCCATGGCGCAGACCTTGAACACCCTGCTTTCTGCTTTGCCTCCTCACGGTGGTCGGGAGCATCTGGGGGTGTTCAGGCCTTAGCCTGGGCAGCACACTCCTGAGGGCCTGCCCCCCTCCCCGGGGTGACGCCTGGACTCCAGGGCCACCATACCTTGGCAATCTTCAGCACCTGGATGTCCTCAGCATCTGAGCCTTGGTCAAACTCCCCAGCCACGACCAGGTGGGAGGTTCTGGAGAGGGCCCGAGAAAGAAGGAGGATTCTGCTGTGAGGCGGGGCGACCACGCGAGGGGGTGCCGGCTGCATGTGTGCGCGTGTGTATCTTTGTGCATATGCTCAGAGTTGATGATCCAGAGATGGGAGCGCAAAATATCAGTAATTGCCCCCGAAACACCTGCACCTACAGCCCGCCGGGTATTTCCTTCCCGGTGACCCTTGGGAGACCAGCATGACTTGGGTTTTCTACACGTTCCCAAACAAGGAAACTGAGGCACAAGGAGTTAAAGGTCCAGCCCTCAGTGCTGAGAGTCTCCCACCCCCACCAAGGGGTTTCCTGGGGACCTTGAGTCCTCACCTGACCCCGCAGTGGGCGGCAGTGACCACCCAGTCCTCGCTGATGAGGGAGCCCCCGCAGAAGTGGAAGCCAGTGCTGTCCTGGAGGAGGACGGACGGGTCAGTGCTGGCTGGACACCAGCAGCCCCCAGCCGGGCCCAGGGTGGGCCAATACCCCAGTGTGTCCTCCACTCAGGGGCAGAACTCCCCCCTCACCTGCAAGGACACCTGCCAAGGCCAGGAACCCGGGACAACTTCCTCCCCATTGACAATCCTGGACAGGCCACTCAGCACAGGATGGATGGTGGGAATCCCGCAGCCTGGGGGTGGGAGCATGAGGTAAGGGATGGAGGCCGAGGGCTCCCCACCCAGGTCCCAGTCTCCCAGGAACCCCCAGGGACAACTCAGTCTGACGTGTGGTTCAGCCCAGAGAAGCCCAACAAGTTGGCTTCGAGGTGGTGGCCAGGCCGGAGCACGGGTTGGAGGCAGGGCTCTGGGGGTATGAACGCAGCCCCACCACTGCCTAGCCTTACCATTCTGAGCGTTTTCCCATCTGCAAAGAGAGGATCATATAGTTGCTAACCTCACAGAGTTGGGACAAGGATTCAAGAAGACGGGCCGCCTGGGCGGCCCAGTTGGTTGACTGTCCGACACTTGATTTCAGTTCAGGTCATGATCTTGGGGTCCTGAGATCAGGCCCCAAGTCTGGCTCTATGCTCAGAGGGTAGTCTGCTTCTCTCTCTCTCTCCTTCTCCCTCTGCTCCTCCCCTCCCTCAAACTCTCTCTCTCTCTCTCTCAAATAAATAAATAAATCCTAAAAAAAAAAAAAAAGAGAGAGAGAGAGAGAAGAAGAAGCAGCAGGAAGACTAAGCAGGCAAAGCAGGAACTTACTCTGTTCCTGGCACAGAGCAAGGGCTCGGTGAACACAAGTTTAAAAGTGCTGGGTTCGAGGGTCCCAAAGGGTTGTGGTGGTCCAGCCACACCTGCCCGCCTGCTCGCCCTCCGAACCTGTTTGGGAGCCACTAGCTGTTCAGAGAATTTTCGCTCCCTCGACTTGGCCTCCCTGTCCCTTGCACAGCGGGCAAGGCCTCAGTCAGCCCCAGGAAGGCCCACCGCCTGCTGGGAACCGCGCGCTGGCTAGTCTGGGCCAATCCTCCCAGCATCCCCACTGTGCTGATGGCGCTGGTGAAGCTCAGAGGGGGAGAGAGACCTGCTCCGGCTCACACCACCGTGTGCACCTGAACGGGGAGCAGGGACCCTGTTGCCCCTTCTGGCCCTGGGGGTTGAAGGGGAGCAGAGACATCCCTTCTGGCCTCTGTTTGCCCTGGACTCACCGAAGGCTGTGCCCAGGAGGGCATAACAGGAGACGATCCAGAGGAAGGCCATGGTCAGGGAGGTGTAGGGTGCCTGTCTGGGGAGCTCCCTGTTATATCCCTGGGCACCAAGCTGTTATCTGCCAACCTTGAGGTAAAAATCCCTTTCCTGGGCATGTGTCCCAGGACGTAGAATGTGCCAGAGCAGGGCTGGCATCGGGGCATGGGATGGCAGCACCTGTGGCCCATGGTCGAGCTTGGGTCTGGGTCAAGGGCAAAGGTGGGGCCAAACAAGGTAGCCAATGGGGGAGGGCTCAGAAAACTTGGGCTTCCTCTTCCAGGAAGGGACTTCTGGACAGCAGCCTGGCCTGGGCAGGGTTTGAGCCCCAGCCTATTCTCTCATGGGCTGGAGAGACTTAGACAAGTAATTTACTTGGTCTGTTAGTTATTCTAAACCCCTGGGCAGTGTGGTCAAGGAGGGAGGAGGTGTGGGGACCAAGGCACCGGCGGCCAGGGCTGAGGATGTTCCCCTGATCTTGGGGATGGCCAAGCAGTCTCCGTGAAGGTTCCATTCAGTATCTGGGGTGGTCACTTGGGCTATGTGCAGCATGGCTCAGAGGGACAAGGCGCCCACTGCCTGTTCACATGAGGCCGGGTCTTTTCACTGGGGCGCCATGGGCCCCTGGAATCGAGTATGTGGCATCCTGGAGCCATGGCCCCAGTGAGAGCTGGTGGAGGCTGGGTCAGGCAGGAAATGGGGTTTGGGCCGGGGGGTGGGCAGGCCAGGAGGCCGACTTCTGGCTTGGGCGACAGGGTGGACAGTGGGGCCCTTTCTCAGCACTTGAGAGTGAGGCTGCCAGGCACAGCGTGAGCCCCGCAAAACACACAAGGAAAAATGGTATCTCATGGCTGCTTTTAATTTCCATCGCACTGATGGTAGCGTGCTCCACGGTACAGGTCTCAGCACAACACAGCTGTGCCGACTGGGGCAGGCTGTGTGCCTTCTCTGGTTTTGTTTCTAAGTATGTAAAATGGGGATGCTTGTAGTATGGATCCCACATGATGAAAGGGCATGACCCATCCCGAGCTAGGACCAGGCGTAAGACACAATCCATGCTGGCGGGTCCTCCGACCTCCTTCCTGAAATGCCTATGGGTGCCCTTTCTGCATTCTAGCAGAGTGTCCGATGACAGTGCGGGGTGGCCACACTGCATCAGGTGGGAAAGCAGGGCCCGAAACAGGAGGCAGAGGGTGGCCCCCCCTGCCATCCCTGCAAGCCCATTCATCC